CGCAGCTGCGACCCATCTGCACGAATGTCCCAGGTCCCTGGAGCGACGACGGCCGCTGCCTGAGCTGGAAAGTAAGTGTGCGGGGCGGGCGGGAGGACATGGGGACTCGGGGGGCGCGAGCTGCCCGCCGCTTGGAACGGAGACCGGGCTTGGACCGGAGTCTCCCTGCGCTGCCCCGGCCGCTCGGTCCCCGCCGCGGTCCCGCCTGGCCTCGTGCTCCGGCGGCGCTCCCCTCCCCCCGGCGACGCACAACTTTGCCCCACGCGCGGCCACTTCTCCCGCGCCAGCGCCCCCAGCCCCGAACTTGAGCCCCGCTCGGCGCCTGGCCCCGCCACCCTCTCTCCGGGGCGCCCGGCCGGCCCTCCGGCCCCAAGCAGCATCCCGGCGCTGCCTCCCACGCGTCGCGGGGCCGGGTTGCCAGCACTCGCGCGCGTCCCGGCTGCCCGGTGGGTCCAGCGCGTCCGGATTGCCGCCGCAAACCTCGCGCTCCTCCGCCGGCTCCCGGTCCCCAGCCCGAGCCTCGCGGTGCCTCCCGGCTCCTCCCGCGCCGCGGCTTCCTCCGCGCGCTGCCGGGAGTTGGAGCGGAGCCTCTGCACCCTGTCGGACGGTCAGGGGTGCCTGCCTTCCTCCGGGCGCCCCATCCCGGTTTCCGGGAGGCGAGGGGACCTGGGGCTCTGCCAGGCTTTGGCGGCTAGGAGGCTGAGAGCGACAGACCTCCAGCGAGGGCAGCTGGGGCACCGCGGCTGCTCCGGGCACAGCGTTAGTCAGGTGTGTGTGTCCATCGGGGACGTGCGCTGCCAGCTTGGAGGCTGGCGACAGATTGTGCTGGAATGCTAGGAATGCACCAGGGACAGAGTCCGCTCGCGCCGCGGCAGCGCCACTAGCGCCTTCTCGGCCCAGCTCTCGCCGCTCAGCCAGAGGTCACAGGAGCATCTTCGGAGCTGGTGAGCCTGGTCCACTTTCCTGCCTTCGTTTCTCTCCTTGTGGCAGAGGGCGGTGGAGAAGAAGCGCTGTAGTTGCTTTGGGCTTCAGCCTACCCTTTGCCTGGGTTTTTTGCTTCATTGGTCTCCAGGACCGTGCATTTGGATGGTAGTGTAGCCAAGGTTATTGATCATTGCACAAGGCTCTTGGGAAGTTTGGTTTACAAGGTTTGGATAACGCTTGGTTTTTACTAGGTTTTCGGAAAACCTGCAGAGGGCCTAGTGTTCTCTTGACTTGAGAGTGATGAGCTTGCAGGGAACAACATATTTTAGCTGTTTCATAAAATTCGTGTTAGTGCTCCTGGACTGGCTGGACTGCGAAAGAGATCTTGAATGCATCACCGCTAGCAGAAGATACGGATTTTTTTTTACCCTCGTCATACTGGGCCGTGTTTAGGCCTTGTATAATATATAATGAATAGAAACAGAGCAGCAGTGTTTGACCAGCGATGGGACAGATAGAACTGTCTGGTACAGTTAAATTCGGGGCGTGTCAGTTACCACTGGAAGTAACACGGGGACACTACAGTCATGCATATTTCAAGATGTGATTTAGTAGCAGAGATCGCTGTTCTTTGTCGTTGAGTTTAACTGAATGAAGCACAGTCCTACAACTTTTAAAGATTGACAAATATGTGTAAAATTAATAGTGGGTTAGTGTGCATTTTTGGTCTGATTTTCTTACACAGAAAATAAACATTTTCACAGATGTTTCTCTAGAACTGGGTTTTAGGGGGTTTTATTATTATTTAAAGAGAAAGTAGAAGAATACTTCTTTTGAATGGGGTCTATTGCTGTGGAAGTACCTTCATTTCTGATGCGTGAGAAACAGTTACCGAAAATGGCAACATGGAAGCAAGAACAGTGTCTGAAATCAGTGTCTTTGGGTGTTGCAGAGCATGCTATGTGTACTTTCCTACAGTTTGCTTTGGAGGCTGCAGCGCACTATGAAGCCACTACACCTAGTTATTTTGTATCAGATTAAGTAAAATAGTAAGCCAATTGTCTAACCAGACACCTGCCTTCCAACCCTTCCTTTGCATGCATCAAGGGTGTTGAAAGTCTGAGATTAGATAAGACCCAAGGGAAATGAAATGAAAGGTTATATCTTTTGGTTGCTGCATTGTTTTTCAGGTATGTCTATAATCAGTGAACCTTCTTATTTAGAGGTTCAATTTGCCTACAGTAACAATGTGGAGGATTTGGAGGAGGTGTTTGTAAATGCCAGGAGGAAACTTTTATGTAACAATATCATATTACAGCAGACTTTAACTCTTGCTTATTTGATTTCAAGATTAGAAAGTAAAAGCAGAAGGGGGGAAGGAATTTGCAGCTCAGTGGTAGAGGCTTGCCTAGGACATGTGAGGCCTTAAGTCCACCCCCAGTGCCCCACCCCTTAAAAATGTAAAAGGAAATCTAATTTCTCTGATGTATTAGAAATGGAAAAAAAATCTGTCAAATATATAAAGTATATATGATTGTGGTTGATTGTGCATAGTTTCACCTGCTCTGGGTAAAAATGGGCTTTCGATCAGAAATGCATTCTGTTTGTTAGGAACGTGTTTACAAGGGAGAAGGTTTATAGTCTTTAACCACTGAGAATAACATAAACTGTTTTGACCAAAGTATTTTTCCTCTTTTCTCTCTATTATTATATAAGGAAAAGGTGCTGAATTTGGTGTGTTACATATCATACAGAAGACTCTAAATTGGGAAGGATTACATATCCTGTTAATTCTTACCTCTACTGGTTTTGGAGGGAGATCTGAAGCAGGGATAATAGAAAGCATAAGAGAAGGAAAGGAGGAGGAGGCCGCTAGCATTCAGCTAGAAAATCATCTACACTGTTGCTGCATTTACAAATGGAGTAAACCAAGCTAATTCTTAGAATGGGCCTGATATAAATTTAAAGAACCTCCTACCAATTTCGGTTTAATAAAAACTTCAGTAATCATAAGACCTAGAGTATTAGGCTAAGTCTGTATTAAATCATAACTGCTACTTTCTTAGCTATAATAATTGACAAAGTAAATTTAAATTTGAAAAATTTAATCACTTTAGTTGATTTTTAAAAATCCAGTTGTTGCCATTTTTTAAACGGAATATGTTCCATGCTGTTAACCAGAGGTCTATTTAAATAGATTTTCATACTCTGCATGATGCCAACCATCTGGCAAATTGTGTCCCATATCTGACCCCTTTCAAATAGCAAGATTTTAGAATGGTCTATATTCTGATGTTTTTTTCATCTACTTTGAGAGGTAACTCCTTACCTTACTTAAGTCTAAAGTGGAAAACAAGCCTTTATTTTAAATTGATGATAAAGTAGACTTTATTATAGAGTTACTCTTGAGTATAAACATCTGTGGAATTATATGTCACTTTGGACAGTTGCCTTCAGACCTTCAGCTTACCTGTGTTAATTCCTTCTTCCATATGGAAACTATTCTGTAATGTCTTTCTGTACTGAAGGGGAAGACCGCTCTGAAACAGAACACCAGTGGCCAAGGTGTGTTTGAAGAATTAAGTAACAATTTCATGGCAAAACTTTAACATCAGATAGCTGTAGGGGGTGGGGATGGAGGTAAAACTGTAAGATGAAGAGATATCAAGCTTCATGGAGTTGCAGGAAGTGATGTGCTAGCCACCAGCTGGTCATGTTGATGCCAGGAGTGGAAATCTGAGGAAGGGGATTGCGTCTAAAGATGTCAGGAGCTACAGCTTATGTGCTTGACGGTTTCAGAGCACGGAGATGCTTTCTCACATTGCCACTTAAGTAATTCAATGGAATTATCTTAATCTTTTGGGGCTCTGTTACCATTGTTGTATTGGGAGTGTCACATGATGGTGCTCTTCAAACTTAGAACTGCTTTGGATATTCATTGACTGAATTGTTTTTCTTTTTTCTTTGCATAGTTTAGAGTGCCTTTTACTTCATAGACTAATAAATGTTAGCTACATTGCTGATCATTTTTTTATTCATAGTCTTGATAACATTATAGTTTATTATGAGTCATATAATGATTTGTGGCTGATGATAAATTGTCAATAGAGATTGGATTATAAAATTTTAATGCTATAAAATATGTAAAATATGGAAGTGTTTGAACTCTTGGTCATGTCATGTGAAGCATTTATGTGCTGAGTAGTGCCTGGTGATTGGATGGGTGCCAAATGCTGTACACACAGGGCTCTAAGTACAGAGCTCCCAGTGAAGCATGCAAGGGGGGCGGCGCAGAGGAACTCTGCATGACAGCCGCACAGTATGTCTGATTTCTGCAGTTAGCCTGTTTCAAATACAAATGCACTGATTGCTGATATCCTAGGCATTAACCCTGTTTTCCTTAGTCTGAAACTACCCTCCCTAGCCCCAACACCACCAAAACCAATACATCTCTCTGATTGGAAAGGCAAAATAAAGCTCCTTTCCAGGGCATAAAATATAGATGTTAATGTCTAGTGTTCCAGAAAGAATTTAGAGTTGGTGTGTGTTTTATCATAAAATGATGTATGAAAGTGAGACTATATTTGAACTGGGGCTACCAGAGTACTTACTGTGCAGGCTTTTTGGTCCTGGACTGGATCTTAGAATGCAATTTTTCATAGAAACGCCACTTTACACTTAAAAACACACTTGAGGGGCTGGAGAGATGGCTCAGTGGATAAGAACACTGACAGCTCTTGCAGAAGATCTGAATTTGAATCCCAGCACCCACATGGCAGCTAACAACTGTCCATAACTCCAGTTCCAGGGGATCCAACAGTCTCTTCTGTCCTCTGCAGGCATTGTACGACACAGGTGCACTTACCTACATGCAGGCAATACGTGCATACACATAAAATAAAATAAAATAAAATATTTAAGGAAAAAAAAACAGACTTGAAACATTGGATGAATGATATCTGGAATTCTGCCAGTTACATGCTTTTTCTTCCATTCCAAACTTGAGAAGTAAAAATTATGAAATCTAGCACTAAATCTTATCACCTTGAGAAACCCTATAACATTTGGAAGATAGCATTCTCCTTTTAAAAATCCAGGGTTTGGATTGCAACAATTCAAATTTTAAAGTTTCTTGAGTATGCCTATA